CTGGGCTTCATTTATCTATACCTAAAATGCTACCTTGTTCTTAATATTCCTATATACTTTCAGGAGGAAGGAGAGCATCTGGGTTAAACTGATTCTATTCAGAGGTGGTTTAATGGGGCTGCCACTGATCAACCCAGGGTCTGCGTATGCTGTCCCCAGCAGGGGAGGAATAGCCAGAAACCTCACAACAGAAAGCTTGTAAATCCGTCTTCAGCTTATAAGTGATTAGAATACCTTAAAGGGGCTAGAAATTGCCCAGTGAAAGGGACCTTCTGTGGAACTTTTGCATTGTTTAAGACCATAGGTGGAAATCAGAATCCCATCCAGAATTGTCCAAGGTGGGAAATTTCCACTGGAAAGGACGAGTAGAGCAGTTGGGATCTAAGTCTGACCACACTCCTGTGAACCAGGGCAGAGACCTGGATGGACAGCAGTTACGGCATAACCCAGGGACTCCAGGGCCCAGAGGCAGTGACATGGCCACAGAGGATTAGAGTAGAGAGTGAAGGGTCCAGCTAATATGAAGTGAGAGGAGATGCACAAGAACACCCATACTTGCAGATAGTACCCACTTGACCTGGCTTCAATGGCTTGATGATCAGAACTCGACTATAAGAAGAATGAAGAGGGAAGAAAAAAAAAAAAAGAGTAACCCACTACAGTTTGATGAACTTTACCTATACGTATGATGGAGGAGAATACTAAAGGTGCCATGGACTGCCAAAAGAACCAATAGATCTGTTTTGGAAGAAGTGCAGCCAGAGTGCTCCTTGGAGGCCAGGATGGCTAAGCTTCATCTCTCATACTTTGGACATATTGTCAGGAGGGAACAGTCGTTGTAAAAGGATGTCATGCTGGGTAAGATGGAGTGTCAGAGAAAAAGAGGAAGACCCCCAACGAGATGGATTGGCCACGTGGCATCATTGATGGCATCGAGTGTGGCAGCAGTAGTGAGGCTGGCCCAGGATCGGACATTGTTTCGTTCTGCTGTGCATGGGGTCGCTATGAGTCGGTTCCAACTCGATGGCACCTGACAACAATGGATGTAGTAGCTCAAAAAAGAGAACAAATCTTTACAGCGAGGATCATTCCCACCCCCTCGGTACACAGGGTTGACAGGGATGGGCAACGCAGACATTGGCTACCCAAAATGGGCAGGGGAGGGGGGGCAGGTATAAAGGCAAGAAGTGACTAGCTTACAAACTTTCAACAGGGAGCCTATTTTCAGATGGGGTAGGGGTAGGTAGAACCTCCACTGAATGATTTGAAATCTGTTGGGACCCAGCTGGCAAAAGGAAATGGGGATAAGACTCTTAAAATTCTCTGTTCAGTTCTTTGACTTCCTCATTTCTTCCAGTCACTTGATCTTCTTTATGTTCAAAATCAAGTTTCAGAGTCTCTTCTGACATCCATTTTTGTACTTTCTTCCTTTCCTATCTTTTTAATGACCATTTGCTTTCTTCATGTTTGATGTTCGTGATGTTGTCCTACAGCTCTTCTGGTCTTCGGTCATTAGTGTCTAATGATCTGTTCTTGAGATGGTCTCTAAATTCAGGTGGGATATATGCAAGGTCATATTTTGAACCTCATGAACTTGCTTTAATTTTTTTCAGCTTCAGTCTCAAGTTGCATGTTTGTCCTTGGTCTTGTTTTGGCTGATGATATTGAGCTTTTCCTCCATCTCTTCCCACAGATGTAGTCAATTTGATTCCTGCGTATCCCTTTTGGTGAGATCCATGCTTTTTATGTTGTTGAAAAAAGGTATTTGCAATAACTAAATCATTGGTCTTGCAAAATTCTATCATGTGATCTCTAGCATTGTTTCTGTAGCCAAGGCCATATTTTCCAACTACTGATTCTTCCTCTTTGTTTCAAACTTTCACATTCTGATCACCAGTAATTATCAATGCATCTTGATTGCATATTTGATCAATTTCAGACTTTAGACTCTGGCAAAGTCTTCAATTTCATTTCACTGACTTTAGTGGTTGATGTGTAAATTTGAATAACAGTGGTATTAACTGGTCTTCCTTGAGACCATGGTGGTTGTGTTCTGTCAAGCATGTTCCAACTCATAGTGACCCTGTATGGAATTCCTGAGGCTGTAAGTATTAAAGGGAGCAAAACTCTTCCATCTTTCTTCAAAGGTGATGCTGGTGATCTTGTGATTAGCAGCACAACTCGTAACCCACAATGCCAACAGAGCTCCTTCGTCTTCCTTGTAGCCTTATGGATATTATCGTATCACAAACAGCACTGTACTTCAAGATTGATCTTGAAATGTTCTTTTTGTCATTCCTATCATAGTAAATTACAAAATTGTCAGATTGAACATGACCAATACTAGTCCATTTCAGTTCACTAAAGCCTAGGATATCATTCTCTATGCATTCCATTTAATTTTTGACAATTTCCAGTTTTCCAAGATTCATACTTCAAACATTCCATGTTCAGTTTACAGCTGTTTCTTCTCATTTTGAATTATAACTTATCAGCACATGAAGGTCCTAAAAACTTTGCTCCATTCATATCATTATGGTCTACTCTAGTTGGAGGAGGCAGTCATATTCTGAGGGCCGTCAACCTGAGGGGCTCGTTTTCTGGCATTACATCTGACAATGCTCTGCTGCTATTCATCAGCTTTCCAGAGCTCTGGTAGTGTAGTGGTTACCAATCAGACTGCGGACCTCAGGGTCGGCAGTTCAAAACTACCAGCTGTTCCGTGGGAGAAAGATGAGGCTTTGTGGTCCCGTAAAGATTTATAGCCTCGGAAACCCTGTACAGGGTCGCTATGAGTCGGAAACGACTCCACAGCACATAACAACAACAACAACAACAACCATTCATAAGTAGTCCCCCTCTCCTTCCTAGTCTTAGTCTGGAACTTCTGAAACCTGTCTGCCCTGGTGACCCTGCTGGTATTTAAAATACTGGCAGCATCACTTTCAGCATCACAGCAACATGCAAGTCACTACGGTATGACAAACTGACAGACAGGTGGTGATTTATTAGTTTAGGAGGCCAAAAGTCCAAATTCAGAGTGCCCGCTCTAGGGGAAGGTTTCTCTCTGCTGGCTCTGGAGAGAGGTCCTGAACCCCTTTCAGCTCTCTAGGCACAGCATCCCTGCAAGGTCTCCTTGTATCTTGGAATCCACCTTCCCTGGAGTTTTGTGCTTCACAGTACAGGGACCCCTGGTTCAAAGGACACACTCCACTCCTGGATTTTCTTTGGTAGTGGTAGTAAGTCCCTCCTTGGCTGTTATCTTAATGCAAGCAGATCACCAGGTCTTTGTTCTGAGATGGTTTGAAGCACCAACCTTTAGTTTAATAAAACCAAAAGCAAACCCATTGCCATCAAGTGGATTCTGATTCATAGCAACCATGTATAGGGTTTTGGAGGCTGCAAACCTATGGAGCAGAAAGTCTCCCCACAGAGAGTTCATGGTACTCAGAGACCTCAAATACAAGTTTATGGTGTTGTTGTTAAGTGCCATGAAATTGCTCTGACTCACAGTAACCCTGTATAGGGTTTCTGAGGCTTTTAAAAATCTTTGCGGGAGCGGGAAAGCAGAAGTATAGGTACAGTGGTTTAAATACTGTAATTATTATTGAGCCCTTACTATGCTGAACCCTGGTACTAGTGGAATCCCTTATTTTGCCATTTACTAGCTGTGTACTCTAGATAAAATTAGTAACTTTATGTCTCAAGGTGTTGGGGTTTTTTTTTTTTTTGTATTGGGGGGAATTGTTTTGTATTTGACTCTATTTATTATGTACCAAAGTTACAGTTAGTAAGCCCTTTTCCTCCCTTTTCTTAGCATTTGTAAGATGCTGAAGAATACCTCCCTCAGATTGTGCTAAAGAAGAAATAATTCACATAAAGTGCGGGAACATTAACTTATTTAAACAAGTATTATTGCATATATATTCCAGTATCCTAGGCCCTGAGGACAGATACTTCATAAATACAACAGATTTTAAAACACACACACACACACACACACACACACACAATTTGTCCTCATGGAGCATAACTCTGGCTAACAAATAGCAATAATGAATGTCTGGCACATATAGTGCTGTGTTATGTATCATCTCTGCGTTGCAAAGCAATATCTTAGAACAAGTGCTGTGGTTTTAGCCTGATTTGTTTCTGGGCGTTTTATTGTAATAAAACAATATATTTTCATATAGTGGTAATATATAGGACCTAAAGAAACAGACATTGAGAAGATGCCAGGACCTAAAGGTAACAGACATTGAGAAGAGGCCAGAAACAGCACGAGGAAACACAAATTTGAGAAAAGATCCCCGGATAGAACTTTAAATGCACTGACGACCCTCTTTTCCGCAAGAGCTGTGAGTCAATGCCAGCCAGAAAGCTTCCTGAGGTGTGTTTATAGACTATTTACTGAAGCCACTTTAAAACATATAAGGAACGACTTGGAAGAGAATAAATACTAGTTTCCACCTGATCAGTTAAGGTATGTATGCAAGTACCTATGAGGTTCTAAATTTTTCTTTTACTACTTCCAATGCCTCCAACCGTCATCTCGAGGGTTTTGTTTACTGGACATTTGAACGCAGTCTATTCTTGGGGGGGGGGGGAGATAAAGAGCTGATTAAGTTTAGCAGAGCCTGAAATTTCAGGGCCTGGGATCCTCCATTACCAAGGCAACCGACTCAGCAGTTCCCAGAGCGGAGGAAACCTGAAACCTTGGCGATCAGGGAGGGCGGCCACCTTCCTCCCAACACACGATTTTGTTTGGTTGCGGTTGGGATAGGCAAGGAATACCCGTACAATAGTCAATGGGGATGTTGTTCTAGGTGGTGGTGGTTAAGTGCAGTGGAGTCGATTCCGACTTATAGCGATCCTGTTGTGAATTTCAACTGCCCACCTAACGGTTCTAGGTGGAGAACGCTATAAAAACAAACTCTCCCCTCGAACAGTAACCCCCTTTTGAGCCTTAGTGCTGCAACTGCACAGGAGACTTCCTCCAGATGAGAGTTACTCCTGATCGAGAGGCGTCCCGCCCTCCGAGAGATGAGAACTGGGCCAGCACCACTTCCCACTGGCTTCTCGCGATCGTGCGGGCGAGCAAGCGAACAGTATGTAACTTCCGCTCAACACCCATCAACTCTTTAGTGATTGGTTCATTTCCAGGACGTGGGGGCGTGACGCTGTTTTCCGCGACTTGGAGTTTTCACGTGTGGCTGACAGAAAAACGCCGGCTAGAACTGTGTCTTGTTTGTTTCCGCCGCCGCGGTTCTCGGGCTGAACTCTCTACGGCCACAACATGGTGAGCAAGCCGTCGTTGGCCGGACAGTGGAGTTGTGTGGGCCTCAGAATCCAGGCTGACCCTGCTAGTGATTCTGCTGCGGCCTGGGGCTGGGCGAGTCTGGAGCTGTGGGGAGGCCGCACTGCGGCCAGATGCCCTGGTGTAGGGCATTCTCAGCACGTTGGTCACACTTTGCACTTTAATTTGGGTCTCCAACAACAAAATCTCCTTGGAGAGTGGACCGAAGCCAATGTCCTTCCCTGGTCCCCGTGAGGCCTCTGGTTGAGTTTTCAACACCCACGACCCAGCACACTAGCATGCCCGCTCTGCGCTTCATGGAGACCCCGCAGAAAGTGGCTGGTGTCTTCAGTCGTTGTTCTGTTTTTCTGCTCTGAGCAAAGTGTACTTGCGTGGGAGGGTAAGGTTGGACTTAAAGTAAGGCCCCTTACTCAACCCAGATGAGGGTTTCGCCATTTAGAGCCTCAAGGTTGAATAGCGAAGTCAGAAAGTAGGTAGACAGGCATGAGGGACCTCGATCGGATCGACGCTAGCTGTGTTAGGATCTTAATAGTCTGCACATGAAATGTTCACCCCAGTTTTCTTGTGGCAGGCTCATCGTCATTCTGGTTCAACCAGTTGGGGACCTTCTGAGCACCCATCTAAATCTAAGGTGACGCTTGAGTCGTTCACTGTTCTCCACACCTGAAATCATGATCTTGGTTATTTGGCTCCACACAAACTTAATAGGGAACTACAAGGTCAGTGGTTCAAGCACGCCAGCCTTTCCTAGAGAGACAGTTGAGAAAAATGTTTGCTGAAAGAAGAGAAATAAAAATTCTATAGAATATAAGTGGTGGATAGAGTCCTAGTGTGGCACTATAGGATAAACACTGGACTAAAAGGTTGGTTTGAACCCCTAGGTTCGAATCTACCAGCTGCTTCTCAGAAACCCTCTAGCTATGAGTTGGATGGTACCAACTCAATGGCACTTACTGACAACAAACACACCTGAGAAGTGCAGAGTTTAAAAAGCTGCTGGTCATTCACTTAACTTATTGAAGATGCCTCTGTGGACAAAGATACAATTCACGTGTTTTGCTTTATTTTGTTAGTGACTTTCATTCTATTCCTTCAAAGCCTCATAGGAAGAAGAAGCCCTTTATAGAGAAGAAGAAAGCTGTGACTTTTCACCTGGTCCACCGGAGCCAGAGAGATCCGTTAGCAGCCGATGAGACTGCACCTCAGAGGGTCCTGATACCTACACAGAAAGTGGGTCCTCTTCATTAGCCAGCATTTTGCAGTGGAAGGGAACTGTTATTAGTTTTTAATAAAATATGGCTAGTTATCTTCTGTGGCCTTTTGGAAAACAAAATAATGACTAGTTTGTAGCAAATGTACTGGTTTTTACAACATTTTGTTTGGGAGGGTAAAGCATTGTAACAAGTTTAAACTAGGTCTTCAAGTCATTTGTTCCATTGTGACCCTCTGCTGAGGCGGTGGCATAAGCACTGAATTACTGACTTCAAGATCAGTCATTCAAACCCACCAGCCACTCTGCAGGGGGACAGTGTAGCTCTCTGCTCCCATAAATAGTTACAGCATTGGAAACCCTAACAGGAATTGACTCTATGGCAGTGGGGGAGGGGGCGGTACTTCTGAATCAGAAACTGCAATTTAACAAGGTCCCCAGGTGATTTATATATAAACCTGCGCGTCTGTAAGATTGATAAAAAAGTGGAAAACCAAATTATCTTCAGGGGGTGGGGGGGTTTCTAACCAGTTAGAAGCTCTAGTTTAAATGAGCAAATCTTGCAAAGTAATAGTAAATATGTACGAAATTGCCAGCTACAATGCTATATAATGTCCTGTTATTTAGAGCAAAATCATTCTCAATGTGTATTTATCCCCAATATCTTACCATTTCCTAAGCACAAACTGCATTTTGCTACCTGGACATTTGTCCTGTGAATTGGAAAATAGCCAAATTCATGAGTTATCTTTTGAAAATGCCAGGGAGCCGTAAAAAGGTTGGTTCTTAAAAAGAGTGCTCTTGTTAAGTATAATGGAAAGGGAATAAATGTTGGGGGACATTGGCTGTCCTTGGTTTTCTGTATAGCCAGTTTGTGTCTTACTGCTAAGTTCCTTTGCATAGAAATACAAGAAATGATATTTAACACATCAAATAACCTCATGAAATGAAATGTGTGTGCGCCGTGGCTTGGATCGTTGCACAAGTGGTATTTAATAGAAGAATTTTTTCATTTCATTGTCATATAATGCATCTCTGACTTCAGTTGGGTTACTTTTGGTCTAGAGTTTGTCAGGAATTCTTACTTTCTTCCTCATTTCTATCAGCTGATGTCATCATGTGCTATCTGACTCCTATTCAGAAAACTGATAGTAATGTTTCTGTACCCTATCTTTGGAAGGGGTTCTAATTGCGTTTTGTTCATTGTCCAAGGTAAATGATGAAGAAAGGCGAGCAGAACAGAGAAAGTATGGAGTGTTCTTTGATGATGACTATGACTACCTGCAGCACCTGAAAGAACCATCTGGACCTTCAGAACTTATTCCCACAAGCTTCAGTGCACACAATAAGAGAGATGAGAAAGAAGGAAGTTTAGTCATTCCAGTAAGGCATTTCACACATTGTGGTAGAATGTTTCAAGAAGGAGTGAATGAAAAACTCATCATTGTTAATTCAAGATAATGTTTGGGGTTTGTGGAATTGATAAGTATTTGAGGCAAGACATGGTAATAGCGTGAAGAGACCAAAGCAAGCCCAAGGCTCACTTAATGAGGGTGTGTGCCCATACGTGCCCACGTCAGTCATCAGGATAGAGCTGGACATCTGTTTTCTGGTGTCAGGTGTCAAAAATACAAGCCTATTTATACATATAGAACTTTAGATGAGTAGGTATGCTTATATCCAGTAGCCATTTTCAGTAGAAGAAAAGCAGCTGAAAACACTTAAACTGTTTCCATATCATAAAATCTGTTTTAGAGTAGAACTTAACCTCTGCAGAATGTTCAGATCTTTAACACCTGTGTAAAAATTGAAGGCTCGCCATAAAGGAGAATAATTCAAATGGATTGTAATGAAATACCTGTCATTACTCTCAACAAATACAGTCCATGTTCATTTTCTAAGCACATATGAGAGCACATATGCACGTATTTATTGGAAATGTGCTACAGCGCTACACCAGGACTCCCAATACATACTAGCTCGTGTTTAAGTGGATGGTATGATGAAGAATAAGAGAGTTTCACACAAAACGTTCTAGGAAAGCAGTCACGAAGGGCTCCATGCGGGAGGGAGGTTCTAACGGAAGAGGGGCCATGGAGGGAGAATTGGGGATCCCATTGCCTGGTATATATACTCTTTGTATATAACTCTGCATCAGAGCATGAGTGTGAGCAACTAGACTCAACTTGCAGGGAGGTCACACGTTGAGTAACAGCAAGAACTTTGGATTCATGGAGTGAACCTCAATTATACATACAGAGGGTCTTGAAAATCAGGAGTTTAAATGTGGACCCTTTAGGAGAAAGACGAGATTGTCTGCTCCTATAAAGGTTTACAATCTCAGAAACTCTATATAGGGTCACTATGAATTGGAATTGACTTGATAATAGTGGGTTTATTTGACACGTGGGATAAAATGTCAAGGACTGTTTTAAGCTTAGCAAAGGTATTGAAGAGGTTTAATCAGGTAGCAGTGGTTTACAGCTTGGATTAGATGATGTAGACTAGCTAAGCAGCTAATAGAGTTGTCCATGTCTTGGTTATGCATAACCAGGATGGTACACAAGGGGATAGAGTGAAATTCGTTTATAAAAGAAAGTACAAAGGGGTATGAGGGATGGAGAGCATCGTGGATTTAAGTCAACAAAATGTTAGAGACTGGTCATATACCTGTGTTCGTGTACCTGTGGATATGACCCTGTTTGAAGATAGATGTACGTTAGTTTAAGATGAGTTCATGCTGTACGGGATTGGGCCCTAATCCTACATGACTAGTGTCCCTAGAGAAGATACAGGAAGATCAAACAAATATACCATGTGATGCTGCAGCTGCAAGCCACGGAATGCCTGGAGCTACTAGAAGCTGGGAGAGGGATTTAACACTCTCTTTCAAAGCCTCGGAAGGAATTGTAAAGCAGGCACCTCAATCTTGGACTCCCAGCTTCTAGACGTGGAGGCAATGAATTTCTATTGAAACCACCCACATTATGTATTATTACAGCAGCCTAGATTGTTCAAAAGGGAAAAAGATAATTTTGGTTTGAAACTTCAGCTTCAGGATAGTGGGGTCCCAAGACCGATATGTGAATCCTAGAACCTCACTTGATGATGATTCTCATGCCAGCAAGCCTTTTGCCCTTAGCTTTTGTTTTGTCATATAAATATGTTGTTACCTCATAGGTTTGTAAGGATCAAATGGATAATGTACAGGAGAAAGCTTTGTGAAGTATTAGGGGAGGTTGTTTTTGAGGTGAAGATAGAATGTACTTCTTTGAAATATATAACTGAAGTTCAGATGAGATCAAATGCAGAATGAGGTTGCATTAGTTTCCTAGGGTTGCCATAACAAATTATCACAACCTGCATGGCTTAAAACAGCAACTTTATTTTCTCACAGCCCTGGTGGCCAGAGATCCAAATCAAAGTGTTAGCACAGTTGATGCCTCAGAGAATCTGTCCCATACCTCTTCCCTAGCTTCTGACAGTTGCTGTGACTCCTTGGTGTTCTTTAGCTTGTGGATAGATGTGTTACTCCAATCTCTGCTTGAATGGTCACAAGGCATTCTCTCCCTGTTTGTTTACATGGTCCCTTTACAAAGATACCAGTCATTGGCCTAGGCACCAGCCCTCCTTCAAAATGACCAGGTCATAGTGATACCTCTAAACACCCTATTTCCAAATAAGATCCCATTCTGAGGTTTTAGGGGACATAAACTTTGGGGACATTTTAACCAGGTAGAGTAACTCAAATATTTCTAAATCTAACCACTGTAATTCCTTTCTCAAGACCACTGGAATTCAGTTGCCTTCATCAGTATTTGCATCAGAGTTTGAGGAAGATGTTGGATTGCTAAATAAAGCAGCTCCTGTTTCAGGTGTGTTTAATTTCTTTAACTTTTCAAATAGCTAGAGCTGTGTTTTACAAAAAGCAGCACAACTTTCTTAGTCTTCATAAAATATGATTGTCTTTTGTATTTTTGCCATCAAATTCTTAGTCTTGAGAGATTCTGTTCAGAAAGGAAAGTGGGAAAATTATGTTTGATCTGCTAGCAGAATTTTAACCTTTGCGTAACCTCCTACATATGAAAGAAATATTTTCAAAATACTTAATCTTGTTGGCTTTCAGAATGTCTCCCAAGAATATAGAAGTATTTTGTAGATGTCTGTTTTACCATATGCTCCAGATACACTGAAAAATTATCATTGTGTTTATTTTCTTATTTGCAATATATCAACATGGTATTTTAGAACAAACACAAAAGTTTACAGAAATGATGTTTGGAATTTTCTCCTAAATTGTCTTAATTATTGATTGATACTTTCCATTTAGCATTCAATGTAGTAGGGTTTTCAGTTCAAAAAGAATTAGTATAGTCCTTGACCTCAAGGAATTTGCCATCAGTTAGGGAAAATAGGCAATAAATGGAAAGTTATGATGACAGTATAGATGGATAAATATTAACCTGTGAGGAGTCCTAACTCCAGTCTTACATAATTGGCCAACACTCCCTAGCGGAAGTAATATCTCCATTGATCTCTTAAGCAGAAGTTAGGCAGTTGGAAGGAGGGTGGTGTTGGGAGGAAAGGATATTCTAGACAGGAAACTGCAGAAGCAAGAAGACATGAAGATAGTAAAGTACAAACATTTTAGCATCCCTAAAAGGAGGGGTAGGACTCATAAGAAATGAGACTTCAGAGTGAATCAGTGGCCATGTCAGATGATGAATTTGAACTTGAGAGGAAAGGTTTCTTGGGCTCTAGCTGTTCAAAATAACCAGCTACTCCCTGGAAATCCTAAACAGGGTTGGTGATTCTGAACCGATTCAACGACACTTAACAACAACAATGCTTTTACAGATGGAATCTGAAATTAGACTGAAAGTTTAACTGTCTATAAATATTTCATTTGGGTTTCTTCTGATAGGTGAATTTGAAGCCCAGCTTCTTTCAGTAATTGAAAGTTTTGATATTTGTCAAGTAGACAAAATGTAGTGTTGCAGATCTATAATGTTTTAATTGGTAGATATTGAAAGGATTTTTTTCTTTTTGCATTAGAATTACCTATTTCTATATTTATTACTTCACTAGACTTCTTGAAGTTCTTAATCATTCTTTTACCCCAGTATCTGGCATGTAATTGGTTGTCAGATTATGTTACGTAAATGAGTAATGCTGTCTTGGGAATTACTGTTCAATTTTTGTTTCCTTTCTAGGCCCTAGACTGGATTTTGATCCTGACATTGTTGCAGCTCTTGATGATGATTTTGACTTTGACAATCCAGATAACCTGCTTGAAGATGATTTTATTCTTCAGGCCAATAAACCAACAGGAGAGGAAGAGGGAGTGGATATACAGTATGTGTGGCTTGTTTAAAGTGGGAATGCTCTCATTCTTGCCTCTCCTTTAGGGTGTTCATCTTAGATGTTTACAGCTAGAAGAGATTTTCAAAAACATTTCAGTTGACTTGTATTTTAAATTAGGAAATTAATTCAGGGCCTAGTCATTGTGATAATGGGGCTAAAGGCCTATCGCCTGGTTGCTAGTTTATTGATTTTCTTTCCATACAAGATTAGCTAACCAGCACTGCCATTCCTACCTAAACAACCCAGTTTTATGTTTGTAATACTTGTTTGGTGATTGGTTGCTGTGGTCGTTTTAACAGTTTGTTACTGTTCATAACTCAGTAAATCTCAGGCTGAAGATGACAATGAGTGGGAAGATGTGGATGATGCTGAGGAAAGTGGTGGTGGCCGTGATGACTATGACTCTGACGGCCCACTGTCATCAGATGGCGATGATATGTCTGCCTCAGACAAACCTCATGGAGAAAATCACTTGTTCTGGGAAGAGGAAACAAAAAGTCGCTTCACGGAGTATTCTATGACCTCCTCAGTCATGAGAAGAAATGAACAACTGACCCTACATGATGATAGATTTGAGAAGGTAAAATCCCACAGTGTTGTTGTTATTAAGTGCCGTAGAGTTGGTTCCGACCCCTAGCGACTCTGTATAGGGTTTCTAAGGAGCAACTGGTGAGCTTGAACAGCTGACCTTCAGTTCAAACTGATTTTGCAGTGGTGCCACACCAGTAGTCCAAAAGTCCCAAAATAGGGACCTTTTAATCCTGGCTCTTAATAAGTTTTTATATGTGCTTAGGACCAAACATGTCTCCTCCTTAAATTCTAGTTTTAATTCTGGAAAGACAACTATAGGCCAAAAGGGTTGGCTACCCAAATATACTGTGATTCAGAACCTCTTCTGACCAGGGCTTTGAACCAGTCATGACCCAGGGCTGGGGGGTTGTGTGTGTGTGAGAGATAATTTCAAGTTGACGCTTAGTCTTCCTCTTAGAAAACAAGGGTAGCATGTACATTTCAAAGCAACCAAAGCTCTGGACTGACAGAGTATGGAAGTGGTGCTTGGCTCCAATATAGTGGCTGAACATGGGTCACTCTCCACAGTCCTGACAACACTCCAGTCACCTGCATCACTCCTGAAAGACCTCACTACGCCTTTCCCAAGGCTCCCATTCCAGGGCTTCAGCACTATATTTTTCCTGTTTTATTCATTGTTTTAGTGCACCACATTTTACAAATTCAGGACTGTTCCAGTTTTACATTGGCCATGATTAACACAGCTCAAACCTGTCCAAAGCCCTGCTTCAAACCCTAGATCTCAAGATGAGTGTCAACAAAATTCCACTCCTTAGTTTCTCATTACTAGAGAACAGAAAGGAGATGAGGTTAAGATGCCTAAACTGCTGCGTTGTAGCGTATTAGGGTAGTAGACCAGCTCTAGGGTTAACAGACCACAGAGTCAAACTGCCCCATAAGTTTTCCAAGGCTGTCAGTCTCATGGGAGCAGATTGCCTCATCATCTTCCCACAGACTAGCTATTGGGTTCAAACAGTCAAGCTTTTGGTTAGCAGCTCAGCACTTAACTCACTGTGCTGCCACCAAGGCTGTTTTCCATTCTCTAGCTTCTTTGTTTATACAGGTTCTCCTGACCCCTAAGCATTTTTTTTTTCTCAAATCCCTCTTCCCCGTTTTATAGCTCTTACTACCTTTTCATATACTATCTAATGTTGGTTTGTTATGTATATTGTGTATTGTTAAGTGCTGTTGAGTCAGTTCTGACCCATAGCGACCCTATATAGGGTTTCCGAACAGCAGTTGGTGACTTGAACCACCGACTTTGCAGTTCAGATGGCTTTGCAGTATGGCACATTAACCCACAGCACCACACCAGGACTCCCCATATTGTGTTTGTTGTTGTTACGTGCTGTCGAGTCGATTCCGACCCATAGCGACCATGTATAGGGTTTCCAAGGAGCAGCTGGTGAGCTTGAACCACCAACCTTGCAGTTCAAACGGCTTTGCAGTCTGACGCATTAACCCACAGTGATAGGTTTGTCTTACTAATATGTCAGCTCTCTAAGGCCAGGGATTTTTGTGTGTTTTACTCACTGAAATATCTTAAGCCCTAAAATGTACTTGGCACATAGTAGGAATTCAAACTGTTCCATTAGTGAGAAGTGAATGCTAAATCCAAGGTAAAATTTGTAACTATCATTTTTTCACTATTGTTTTCATTTTCTCTCAAAGAGATAGGCAAACTCTTACTGTAAATAACTGACTCTTCAGAAGATAAGTCACCTTTATTTACTCTTTTATAAGCCTGTGACTGTTAGTTTTGAATTATAAAGTAAACATCTAAACGGGAATTAAATTTATGCATTAACAGCAGAAGGCTGTTGAATTTACATTATCTTTTAGTTTGTGTAACCAAAGAATATGATTATGCAAAAAAGTTCTGCTGAGTTAATAATCTCTGTAACATTTTGTTCTCCATGCTGAATAGAATAACTGCTTTTCATATTCATGTTAAATGAAAGCCCATTTTCAGAAACCTCTATTTACATCTTACAGTGCTGGACAAAATTTTTTCCACATACGATTGTTATTATGTGCCATGGAGTCGGTTCTGACTCATAGCAACCCTGTACAGGATTTCTGAGGTTGTAAATCTTTACAGGAGCAGAAAGCTTCATCTTTGTCCTGCGGAACAGCTGGTAGTTTTGAACTGCTGACCTCGTGGTTCACAGCCTGATTTGTAACCACTACGCTACCAGAGCTCCTTCCACATACTGTTACAGTGTTGGTAGAATCAAGTTGTACTCACAATTCATGGAATAAACTTCATTATCTTTCAATCCTATTTTTCCATGAACTTTTTAAAGCCCCCCTTGTATTTTAAGATAGTTGTACTCTTATGTGGCTGCATGCCTTTGAGTCGGTTCTGACTCATAGCAACCCTGTACAGGGTTTCTGAGGCTGTAAATCATCTTTATGGGAGCAGAATGCCTCATCTTTCTCCCATGGAATAGCTGGTAGTTTCGAACTGCTGACCTTGCAGTTTGCAGTCCAATTTGTAACAAGTACACTACCAGAGTTCCTTTCGTTATAATCTTACAGTACCCCATAAAGTAGTTGACTTGTGGCAATCCCACCAGACTGGAATGAACTAATTCAAACCCTTGGTTTCAGAGTAGAACTGTGCTTCATAGGGTTTTCAGTGGCAATAATCTTTTTTTTTTTTTTAATGGTACATTAAAAGGTATTTATTTAACACTAAAGATGGCAGTGACTGAGGAACCCTCTGATTTGTGTCTTTTAGTTCACACAAGTCACTAGTATCTTGTCAGACCACAGGCTGTCTTCCAGTTTTCAGCTGTGGGTGATGGATCACATGATCCAGTTGTTATGTGCTGTGCAATTGGTTCCGACTCATAGTGACCCTGTACAGGATTTCTGAGGCTGTAAATCTTTACGGGAGCAGAAAGCTTCATCTTTCTCCCATGTAACAGTTAGCTGTGGCATAATTAAATCAGGTGGTCCAATCAGCTATGGTTGTGGAATCACATGATCCAGTCAACTGGCCCTACAGTGGTGGCCTACTTAGATGAGCTGTGGTGAGATTTTTTTTTTTTTTTTTAGCTTTTATTGTGAATTGAGTGATAGTTTACATGGGAAAGTATTAGTTTTGCACTTAACCTGTTGTATTTTGTTTCATTGCAGTGATTAAAATCCCCTCCATGCATCATGAGTTAACAGTATTTGCTTTTATTCCCTGTTATGTTTTTGTTTTTATGTACACAAAAACATGCAGGAATATATAATCATTTAAACAACAAAAGGGCATATTCTGCGAGCCAGCCTCCTGCCTGCCAGCCAGCACACAACCTGTCTCTTTCCATGAGTCTAGAGTCCTCAGCTGCTCAATCTCTCCATGTCATCACCTCTGCCTCCGTCTCTGGGGTCCCTTCTTCTCTGGTTACAGTCCCATGTTCTTCTCATGCTTTTCTCTCTTGATGGTCCTGGGGTCCTCTGTTCCCAGAATATAAAATTAACTACTCTCCCTTTTTGTTACACAACTTCTACCATTACAGTTATGACAATCACAAGTAGTCATGATAACAATTACTATTGAATCAAAAGAATCCTATCCCCAGCTCTCCTTTCACAGACCCATCTAGACAAGATGAAAAGTATTCAGTGGTGAGTCTACCAACCCCCGCACACTCTGAAACTAAATTCCCTATTGGAAACTTGTAAGCCAGCCACTTCATGCCTTTATAGCTCCTCCCACCCCCATTTTAGGTAGCCAACGTCTCAGTTGCCTGGCTGTATCAACCCTGTGTGCAGAGGGGGTAGGCTTCATCCTTGATGTGAATACTCTCAGTGACTGTAATCTTAATGAAAGTACATCATCAGAATTTTTAAATGGGTGGTGTCATTAATACCTAGTGTCAAACTGTGCCACCCAGGAACCTGATCTTATGATAGTGTTTAAATCTTATATAGGAGTAAACTGATGTTAACATGATGGAACATGCTGAAGGTTTAATAAGTACATTCATAACTCATTCTATCTTTTCTGTATGTTCAGTTTTATGAGCAATATGATGACGACGAGATTGGAGCTCTGGATAATGCTGAATTAGAAGGTTCAATTCCAATAGAAAGCAGTCGGTTGCAGGACGTTTTGAGCGACTACTATAAAGAAAAGGCAGAAAAGTATGTTGGGTTTCCTTTTCCTTTTGTAGATGGCTGATTTAATTTCCACATGAGGTTTGTAGTAGTTCAGCTGAATCCTAAAAGAATTGCTTAGTGAGAATGCATTAATTAGAAAGTGGAGCCTTTTCCATAAATTTTTGACCACATATCTTTTGCCCACATTTTAGTATTAAGAATTCTGAAGCTGAACTTGGCTGTGGGTGAGAATGTATTGAGAATCACTTTCTTTAAAACTTTGACCTGAGAAGAGTCACAGTGGCAAAACTACAGGTTAATGAGAAATATGAAGATATGTTCCAGTTGGAGGATAAGGTGGTGCTTCTAGCTTCTTTGTCTGAGTCTTGACTCTATCCCAACCTGATTTATAGCTTGGAGCTACCCTTACATATTGTTGTTGAGTGCCATCAAGTCAGTTTTGACTCATAGCGACTCATAGTTTCTAAGGAGGCGCTGTGTGTTTGAACTGATGACCTTGTGGTTCGCAGTCCAGTGTCGATCGTACAATGCCACTTGCTAATTTGCTAAGCAGTTATTCCAACTTCTAGGTATTTGTGTTCTTATTTATTGTTCCTGAAATGCCAGGTACCCTAAGAAGTAGGTATGTATGGCTCATAGAAAAGGCATCTCTCTCCAGTGGATTAACAGACCTGACCAGCCAATGACTTGGCAACTCAGCGTCCACATCAAGTTCACTCTTGTTGAAAGAAACTAATGAAGTGCTTAAGTCAGTCAAAAAGGTCTGATGGTGCATGATCATTATGATATATGTAGGTCTCACAGCAGAGCAAGAGGCTACATACCTTGAACTGTTGAATGCTTTGGAGTGACAGATGGGTTTATGCTTTTCAAGGATTTAAATAAGGATTGTGGGGTTTTTTTAAGATAAGCAAAGATACAGTTAGATTTTTCTTGTCAGCATATTGAATGCCCAAAACCCATTGGAGGGTGACACAAGGTTAGATTGATGGAGCTAAGTTGAACAAGAAGTGACAGGCAGGGACACGAGTCCATGGGATTGATTGGAAATGCTGTTGTCGCCATAGCTCTCTTAAGTGTACTTTTAGCCATATACAGTATAATAATGGGTACTTTTCTTCTACTCCCCGCTCTCTCAATTTTTAAAACACTCAACCAAAAGTTGTGTCAAATTGAATATTCTTGAATCCTTTGAAGACCAGGACCTGCTAATGAATGAACTCAAAGAGTTTAAGGAGGAAGAAATTGTTACTGTAGTTCTTGAAGACGTCAAAGAGAAGTGGGATTGTCAGTCCATCTGTAGTAAGTATCTCAGTACCCATTTTATGATTAAAAGGATGGGAGTAATAAAATGTTTAAATTCTGGTAAAAACCTATACACAGAAAAGCAACCCCAAATTTCTTGTACAGTTCAGTGGCATTGGTTATGTTGTTAACATTGTATCATCATTCTCACTAATGCTATCCAAATAATATCACTGCCATTACCTGACACTCACTGCCTCTTCTCATCTGTGCACAGATCAGTGTTGTCAGTTGACTCTCATAAAGCTAGTTCTTGAAAAGCCCATGCTCAAGGCAAGCATTTTTTTTACTAATTGAGCTAAACTGTAGTTTGGTTTTAAGATGACTTCAGGGGTTAGTTTCGATTCAGTTATTTAGTATATCAACTTTCTTAAAAATACATAGATTTTAATGTAAGTTAATCTTTGAAAGTGATTTGGAAGTGTCTAATTGTTGTTAAGAGCCATTGACTTGATTCCAACTCATAGGATCGAGTTTCCTAGATGTCAGTCTTTGTGGGAGTAGTAAGCCTCATTTTTCTCCCGTGGAGTAGCTGGCGGGCTTGAACCACCAACCTTGTGGCTAGCGAATCCCATGCTTATCTTACAGTTTTATTACTGACTAGTAAATTTGAGTTTAAAACCTTTTATTAGAGGGACTTCACTATTCTAAACTATGAAACACCAGATTTCTTTTTAGCATAAGTGAATTGAATTTGAAGGATTTTTTAAGATGTTTTCCTTCTTATCTGAATACCATTGCTTACCTGTTACTTTAGCATAAGCATTATTTCCTTGTAGACGATAAGCCATCAAGGGGAGAGCCACTTGCTCTGCTTGTTATCACCAAGTTGCTCAAGGTCAGGAACATAGTAAGAACTATAATGGTTTGCTGAGCTGAAAGTGAACGTATGCATAATACTTACATGTGGTTTTTTTTGTTTTGTTTTGTTTTTAAGGTACATACTCAAATTTATATAACCATCCACAGCTTATCAAGGATCATCCAAAAGTAAGTCCTAGTGTCCTAAGCTATCTGAACTGTGCACTGCCGGAAATGGAGTGTATGAAGTGTTTTCTCACAGTAGCTTTATCCCTGTGGCTAGCAACACCATTAGGAAAAACAACAATCTGCCTTTTGTGCACTGTTTTATTAACAGGAGTGGGAATCAACTCTAGTGCCATTTTTTTCTTTTTTACAGCCCTCCAAAATCCGAATATCTTCTAAAACAGGAATACCTCTCAATGTCTTACCTAAGAAAGGACTCACAGCAAAACAAGTTGAACGCATGCAGATGATTAATGACAGTGATTTGCCTAAGGTATCAACCCAACCTCGTTCTAAAAATGAAACCAAAGGAGATAAACGAGCAAGAAAGCAAGCTATCAAAGAAGAGCGCAAGGTGAATACAGTCTTCAGATGTGAGATTTAGAAAGTCGGTGGGAAGAAATTAAGGAAAAATGAGTTTCTTTTGTAAAGTTACATCTGTTTGAAGGTTTGAATAATGTATATTCTCTTATGCAGGAACGACGAGTGGAGAAGAAAGCTAACAAATTAGCCTTCAAACTGGAGAAAAGAAGACAGGAAAAGGAGCTGCTGAACTTGAAGAAGAATGTTGAGGGTCTCAAGCTATGACAATGGAACATATAGAACATGTTCATTGATGAACTAGGATCCTCAGACAAAATTCTTTGCCACTTTTACTGACAAATGTGGAAAAAGATAAGTTTAAAATATTTGAATTTTTATACCAACGAGTTTATTGACCATCTTGTAAATATTGTCATATTTTTAATTTAATATTAAAAATGTAGATTTGCTTTGAAATAATTGACTTGAATGGAATTGGTGTATTCATTGTTTAGATGCTTGCCTCAGATTTTTATAGATAGTGTCAAGTACTTCTTTGACGCTTCCTTCACTCTTCAAGTTTTAAATGAATTTGCTTGTTGTATCTAGCCTTGTTGTCGTTAAGTGCTATCAAGTCGGGTCTGACTCACTCCTGGGTTTGAATCACCAACCTTGCAGTTAGCAGTCCAGCACTTACTTTACAATGCCACTCACAGTAGTGCTGTTGAGTCCGTTCTGTCCCATAGCAAGTCACAAGGAAACATCGCCCCTCCTGCACTATCCTCACAATTGCTGCTACTCTGGAACTCATGTTGCTGTCACTGTCCCAGTTCATCTTGTTGGGGGTCTCCCTCTCTTTCACTGACCCCCCCATTACCAAGCATGATATCCTTCTCTAGGGATTGGTCCCTCCTGATACTATGTCCTGAGTATGAGACACGAATTTTGGCCATGTTGGCCTCTAAGGAGCATTCTGGTTTTACTTCTTGTAAGACAGATTTATTTCTTTTTATGGCAGTCCATGGTACTTTTAATATTCTTTTATAATACTATAACTCAAATGCATCATTTCTTCAATGGTCTTATTCATTATCCAACTTGCACATGCATATGAGGATTTGAAAATACCATGGCTAGGGTCAGGTGCACCTAAGTCCTTAAACTGACGTCTTTGCTTTTGAACACTTTAAAGAGGTCTTGTGCACCAGATTTGCCCAATGCAATAATGTCATTTGATTTCTTGACTTGAGCATCAATGAGAGTTGATGGTAGATCCAAGCAAAATGAAGTCTTTGACAACTTCAGTCTTTTCTCCATTTCTATGGATGTTATTTGTTGATTCAGTGGTGAGGATTTGTTTTCTTTACATTTAGGTACAACCTATACTGAAGGCTGTGGTGTTTGATCTTCATCAGTAAGTATAGTGAGTTACAAATTCCGCTGCTAATCACAAGGTGAGCAGTTCGAATCTACCAGATGCTCCACAGGAGAAAGATGAGGCTGTCTCCTCCCATAAAGATAGCCTCAGAAACCCTATACAGGGTCACTGTGATTCAGAACCAACTCATTGGCACACAACCATCACCACTACCACCATCTAGTAGAAGGGTCCAGGTAACCTCAGTTTTGAAAATGCTTAGTTTGTCCTGCAGAGAAGTAAGAGTTTCCTGAGAAGACTGCCCTGGTTGGAAGCTATTTCCCCTTTTTGCACATAAGGATTATCTTACAAGGATGCTAAAACTAGTATTAATGTCATTTGGACCCAGATTGCCCATTGTATCATTAGGTGATTAGAGTTTTGGACCAGTGGAGAAGTAAGATAAGTTTATTAGTTTCAATGAGTACCTAGCTCAAAATCATAAATATTTAGCTTAAAAAAGAAAATTTGCCTTCTAAGGAGCTCTGGTAGTGCAGTGGGTACAAATCGGGCTGCAAACTGCAAGGTCAGCAGTTCGAAACTACCAGCTGTTCTGCGGGAGAAAGATGAGGCTTTCTGCCCCCATTAAGATTTACAGCCTCGGAAACCCTATGCACACAAAACCAAACATTATTTAATGCTGGGAGCTGCGTACTTGAAGAAAATTCATAATTGAAAACATTGCCTTTTGTGTTTGGTTTCTTGTTAAACTTCCTCAAGGTTTGTGTAGTGATGGCATCACAACTGACAGACTATGACTTCTTTGTAACAAACAAGTTGTTAATGGCCCTTGTTCCTGACTGCTGTGCTGTTAGCTGGACTGTTCTGTAAAAACCTGTGAACACTGTTGGTTTGAGTTAGGACAGAATGTCTGGGGCAGAACCCTATTTAGCAGGTGAGCTATATTTGGTATCTAAATGATTAGAAAGGAGGTTTTCATCTGTAATTTTATTGTGGCTTTTCCATAGTTGATAGGTGTTTTCTAGTATTAGCGGTGTTATCAATTTTAGATCTAAGTAAGTTATTCTAGGAGTTTTTAAACCAGTAGCATCAGGTACTCATCAACTTGGATTTAAAATAAAATTAAAAAGCTACCCTGAATAGTTTGTCATTAACAGTATAGAAGAGGTGTGTGTGTTTAAATGCCTTTGTTGGAAGCAAAAGTCAGATAATGGTGTACATTAGTATTGGGATTGTACTAAGTCCTGAAAGGATTGGCTGTTTATTGGTGTGGTCCAGTAGGATAAACACTGGACTGTGAACCACAAGGTTGGTGGTTCAAACCCACCTGCTGCTCCTCAGAAACCTATACAGGGTCTCTGAGTCAGCATTGACTTGACAACACTTAACAACAGCAACATTTCATTTGAAAGTTCTCAAGACCATCAAGATTTGTAGGTATTAGATGTTACTTGGTCTTGTGCTCTTCAGTTCCCATCTTCTGGGCTCCCAATTTCCATGTACCTGATTTAAGTAGATTCAGATGGCACATTATATATGAGGGGGTTTCAGAAAGTTCATGGACAGATTCCATTATCATTAATTAGATTTTTTACATGAATATTTTGAAGCCCCCTCGTATTTTGCAATTAAGGGAATGTGACTATGAGCTACAGGTCTTGAGAAAGTATACTGTGATTTAAGCAGATTATCTTCCAAGCTTAAAGACCTTTATTTTATTCTGGAGAACAAACTGCTTTCCTAATTTATTGAGTAAATTGGCTGATAATTTAGTTTCTTACACCAATGGAGAATAAAGCATCCATGTCAAATACTGTGAGTCTAAAGAAAGAAGAAGGTTTTGCCTTCAGGATTATATATAGTCTGAGGAGGAAGTACCGCTTATAATGATGAGGATCTCGGTACTTATTGTGCCCCTTGCTAAAGCATACACTGCAGGTAAACCCTCAAGGTTGCTGCTTAGTTGGCACCTTCCTATGAGCTTTTCCCTGTCTATTTTAAAATAGCTTACATCCCTCCCCTACGTTCTTTATCCTTCTCTATTGTATATTCTCCATAAACATCCATTAGCATCCAAGATACAGCTTGTTTTTCAGTCTCCTTTCACTCGGATCAACTATCAACACTCATGAAAGCAGCAGTCAAGAAATTAAACCATGTATTGCATTAGGCAAATCTGCACAAGACGTCCTTAAAGTGTTCAAGAGTAAAGATGTCAGTTTAAGGATTAAGGTGTGCCTGACCCAAGCCATGATATTTTCAGTATTCACATGTATGTGAAAAGTGGACAATGATTAAGGAAGAGTGTAGAAGAATTGATGCATTCGAGTTATGGTGTTAGAGGAGATTGTTAAAAGTACCGTGGACTCCCAGAAGAACAAACAGATCTGTGTTGGAAGAAGTACAGCCAAAATGCTCTTTAGAAGCCAGGATAGCCAGACTTATCTCTCATACTTTGGACATATTATCAGAAGGGACCAATCCCTGTAGAAGGACATCATGCTTGGTAAAGCGGAGGATCATCGAGAATCAAGGAAGTTCCCAAGGAGATGGATTGGCACAATGGCAGCAGCAGTGGGCTCGCAGCTGTAACAGTAATTGTGAGATTGGTGCAGGAACAGGCTGGTTCGTTCTGTTGTATATAATAAGGTCGCTATGAGTTGGTAATAACTCGACGGTACCTAATAACAACTCACTGGATTATAAACTTTGAGGACAGGGAACTTTTTTGCTTACTACTTGTTGCCCAGGTTATGGGTTGGTTATGGTGGTAGTGCGGGAGAATGATGAGATGTTCTGCTCCCGTAAAGATTTACAGCCTCGGAAACCCTGTACAGGGTCGCTCTGGGTCGGAACCGATTCAATGGCACTTAACAACAACAACAATGGTGGTAGTGTGCCGTAGAGTCAGTTCCGACTCATAGCGACCCTGTACAGGGTTTCCGAGGCTGTAAATCTTTATGAGAGCAGAAAGCCTCATCTTTCTCCCATGGAACAGTTGTAGTTTCAAAGTGCTGACCTTGAGTTTAGCAACCTTAGTAGTACCTGGTATATGGTGTACACTCATTAAGTAGTATCTGAGTGAATAGGTAAATTGGAAACACGTTTCAGTGAAGAATCACTTAAACTTGGAATAATGGGACCTGAGTTCACGTAGGAGAAAGAAGGCTTGAGGAATCCCAGGTAGAGGGTAAAATCAAGCACAATTTGTCTGCTTTAATCATAAGAAAACCTGTTTTCTTTAACCACTGTCTGTGGTTGGTTTGAAACCATTTTTCAGATATTTTAGTACTATTAAAGTCAAACTGTCTTTAAATTACCATTTGGGTGAATGAACTACCTGTGCTGCTTGGCTGCACTGTGTCTACACTACCATTGTGATATCATCAGATCATGTGAAGGACCGCCCTGGCCATCTCATAAATTTACTCTTAGATTTTTAATACTTTTATGTTGCTTCTTCGTGTTATGTTGACATAGGAACACTTTATAAAGCATGTTGGTTCCAGATACCTAAAAGTAAAGGTAAAACAAAGGTAAAATGTTGTAATGACTTTACATTTCAGTTACGAAGCTTAGAATGTATAATACATTGTTAAGTGTTATCGAGTCAATCCTGACACATAGTGACTCAGTATAGGGTTTCCAAGGCTGTAAGTGGTTACAGAAGTGGAAAGCCTCATCTTTCTCCCACGAAGTAGTTGGTGGGCTCAAACCACCTACTTTGTAGTTTGAAATCCTGTGAACTGGTTTCAATTGCCACATTTTTTACAAGGGCTTCTGTGCTCTGTTTCTTAACTTGAATAATAAACATGGGCCCACTATTCAAGTTAAAGGAGCTCTGGTAGTGTAGTGGTTATGAATCGGGCTGCTAATCTCACGGTCAGCAGTTCGAAACTACCAGCTGTTCCGTGGGAGAAAGAGGA